CACCATGCCTCTCGGGTAATGACTCCGTTTACCCGTCTACCCTTAGCAACACACAGCTAGATGACAAACAACAAGACAAATGGAACAATAGTCTAAAACCACAACCTGAACGAAGTCATGTGGATTAGTAGAGCAAGTATCTGTTGCAAATCCTAGTTCCTAATGTACCTGCACGTTTTATCTGAAACGCCTCTGCGCAGGCAACCATAAGCTTTCCATGAAACAAAAATGACTACCTGCTTGTACTTGCAACACCAAATACAAATGAAACATTTAAAACAAATCCGCCTCTGCGCAGGCAACCAAAGGAATACTGTGTTAGATCAATGTTGCAGCCCCTGCGTGGGCAATCATTTGCCTTATTATAAATCAGTTTGATGCCTAAATTCCTATTGTGCTTAAAATAAAAATATTCAAAACAAAATAAATTAAAAAGATCCAAACCGCTATAAATGCTGAACAAATGGGACAATATTAAGAAACTTATTCATGCTCCCTCTCGTAAACAGAAAATTCTGGCATTCTAGGGTTGTATGAAAAGCAGAAGAAACATAAAACCATAGAATGTGACGGCAGATAAGAACCATTCAGCCCGTCTAGTCTGCCCAATATTTCTAAATACTTTCATTAGTCCCTAGCCTTATCTTATAGTTAGGATAGCCTTATGCCTATCCCACACATGCTTAAACTCCTTCACTACGTTAACCTCTACCACTTCAGCTGGAAGGCTATTCCATGCATCCACTACCCTCTCAGTAAAGTAATACTTCCTGATATTATTTTTAAACCTTTGTCCCTCTAATTTAAGACTATGTACTCTTGTTGTGATAGTTTTTCTTTTTTTAAATATAGTCTCCTCCTTTACTGTGTTGGAGAAGACTATATTTAAAAGAAGAAAAACTACCATAACAAGAGAAAAATCCCTTGAGAAGTGTATAGCAGCCTGTGTTCCATCCTGATGCTCAGAAGGGAAGGAAATCCCTAAGTATTGCATTACAACTGTACAAAATGACAAAATTACTAGTTTTATGGCATACCTCCTTTGCAATATTTTACTGTCTTGGATCTCAGTATATATCAACAGTATAATAATGACAGATTGCACAGCAAGGCTGCTGTTTAAAAAAGTTAATTAAAGGGACACTATAGTCACCTGAACAACTTCAGCTTAATGAGGTTGTTCAGGTGAGAACTACAGCTCCCTGCAGCCTTTCTCATGTAAACACTGTATTTTCTAAGAAAATACAGTGTTTACATTGAAAGCTAGGAACACCTCCAGTTGCAGTCACTCAGAATGCCACCAGAGGGACTTCCGAGTTGATTGAGGCATAAAACTCCTCAATCCACTCAGATCTGCAGTCAGCAGAGCACATGGCAGCACTGTGTCTCCTCCCACTGCACGCAGACACTGAACTTTCCTCATAGAGATTTATTGATTTAATTCATCTCTATGAGGAGAAGCTGATTGGCCAGGGCTGTGTTTGAATCATGCTGGCTCTGCCCCTGATCTGCCTCTTTGTTAGTCTCAGCCAATCCTATGGGGAAGAACCGTGATTGGATCAGGCTATCACATGTCAGCAGACTGCTTGTTTTTCCTGAGTCTAACAGAATGCAGAGTTACAGCTTCTGGCTTGAATACAGTAAGATTTTTACTATATTTATGGAGGCATGAGAGGCCCAGGGGGGGGGGCTAGATGGTGGTGTTCAGGGCTGAATTAACATAGGGGCTGATGGAGCTGCAGCTCCAGGCCCAGGCCCAGGCCCATGGAATAGGCCCATTGATTTAAAAAAAAAAAAAATGTTTTTTTTTTTTACATTTTTTTTTTTTTCACACACTACTCTTAGGGATTCCACCTGGCTTTTATTTTATTGGCACAGCCAGTATTTGAGGCTGCCTGGCTGATGCCAATATTGCAGTGATACTGGCAATACAAATGCTGGTATTTTTCTCAGTATAAACAAGAGATTACTCTGCAATACCAGCACTGGCCAGTAGGGGTCGCTGTGTGTGGAGACAGGCAGGGATAGGAAGTTCCAGCATATCCCTCCCTGCCTATCTATACTCACTGATCTGCAGGGGTGCAGCTACAAAGAGTCTAGACAGAAACTCCCACCCTGCAGAGACAGCCTATAGCTCAGGGAAGTAAGGGATGGGGGAAAGGCTGCAAGGAGACATACACTGAGACACTAAGGGACACTGGGAGACATTATGGCAGACACTGAGACACTAAGGGGAACTGGGAGACATTATGGCAGACACTGAGACACTAGGAGACATAATGACACAGACACTGAGACACTAAGGGACATTGGGAGACATAATGACCCAGACACTGAGACACTAAGGGACATTGGGAGACATGGGGCATTGAGACACTGATACATAGGAACACTGAGATCTGGAGTAATCGACACATGGGGGCACTGGGAGACATGGGGGCACTGGGAGACATGGGGGCACTGGGAGGAATCCATCTATACAGCAGAATCAAACTAAGTAGTTTTTTGGTGATTTTACAGCATTTTCTCTTATGTCACTCCTTGTGATTTACATCATGTGATGTCACCCATACATATTTAATTATACAAATTAGTAAGGCCGGTATGTTTTTCCAAGAAAGGTGGCAACCCTAACTACTTTTCACACACTCTTACTTAAGTATGGAAACTTAAGTGGGATGTATGGGAACAAAACTTGTGTGGACTGGCTGACAATGAATATAGTTAAAGGGACACTATAGTCACCAGAACAACTACAGCTTATTGAATTTGTTCTGGTGAGTAGAATCATTACTGTCAGGCTTTTTGCTGTAAACACTGCTTTTCAGAGAAAATGCAGTGTTTACTTTACATCCTAGTGATAACTTCACTGGCCACTCCTTAGATGACTGTTAGAGATCCTTCCTGGGTCATGGTTGCCTAAAATGCATCCAAACATTCAGTGTCTCCTCCCTCTGCATGCAGACACTGAACTTTCCTCATAGAGATTAATTAAATTAATTCATCTATATAAGGAGATGCTGATTGGCCAGGGCTGTGTTTGAATCATGCTGGCTCTGACCCTGATCTGCCTCTTTGTCAGTCTCAGCCAATCCTATGGGGAAGCACTGTGATTGGATCAGGCCACCACTTCTAATGATGTCAGCAGACTGCTTGTTTGTATGAGTCTAACAGCATGCAGAGTTACAGCTTCAGGCTTGAATATAGTAAGATTTTGCTATATTTATGGAGGCATGAGAGGTCCAGGGGGGCTAGATGGTGGTGTTGACACTATAGGGTCATGAATTCATGTTTGTGTTCCTGACCCTATAGTGATCCTTTAAGGTAATGCTGACTTTGGTCTCTCTAACACTGTGGCATGTTCCCTTTCTTCTACACTCACTACATACAGCTTTTCTCTATCCCAGACCATATACCAGGAGCTTCTGCCTGCTAGTAAGAAGGTAAGGAGACAAGTGGACCAGCGAGTGCTAGAGGGCAGTCCTCAGAAAGCGTTGAGTGAGCGCATCATTAGATGCATTTATGCCAAGCTCAGGGTGCAGTCTGCATAGTATGCCCTTAGTTGGCCAGCTGCATGATTGGCAGGCAGCCTGACATGCATTCATGCCATGCTGGCCTTCTAATTCTTTGAGCAGACATGGCCTCTTTTTGGGCATGTTCGCCCCTTTTGGCAGATTACGTGATTTGTGTCAGTGGCACACCCTTTTACCATGCCCATTGACTTCCTGCCTGACTGGACACTGCTGTTAGGGGTTATGGATTTACTTGAAAGATGAAAACATAAATTAGTGAGAGATTAGCCTAGGGTATGTGTTTTCTTATAGCTGCTGTTTTCTTTCTCTCCAGCACCATCAGATACATGATGCTTTGGAGTGTTTTACTGTTTTTGGTCGATATGATTCTGTAATTAGGCCTGTCATAATTACCAGCACCAGGCCCACTGGGCTCTTAATCTGGCCCTGGTGGTGTTAACACTATAGGGTCAGGAATACATGTAGTTGCACTGGTGACTATAGTGTCCCTTTAAAGGTTACTTGTATCACCACCTGATTGGTAGAATTGCTAATTAGGCAGCACACTTCCCTGGGAGTGAAGAGGACAGTAAAGATGTAAATGTTACTGAAACTATCTTAATAAATTAAAAGACAACACAGGTCAGTGATTCTGCAGTAGTAGGGTCATATTGTGTATTTTATTAATTGCCTTAATCACAGGCAATGTGACATATAAGTCAAAATGATTAAGAATAATTGTCAGTAAACATTATTAAAAACAAACATGAACTGTGTATGTAATCCGTTTGTACTGATCCATAAACTTACTGGACGTTCACGTCAACTTATCATTATTTTATTTTATTTTTCCAAATTAGACCCAACAAAATATCGACAGAGACGATAGATAAAGAAGGCCCTATTTAAACAGCTTACAATTCTATGAATGGTGTGCCTGGTACTGGACAAAAAAAAATATTATATTATTATTTACATTGTAATCAACAGCAAAAGTCTTTGCTGGTAGCCTGCACACAGTTTGTCTAATGTGGGTATGACTTCTCTAGGGTGAATCTCCAACAGGACATTTATCTTTTTTTATGTAGGATGTTGACCATATTGTCTCTCCTGGGTACTAGTTGGCAAAATATAAAGAATTTTAATTTACTCCCTATGCACTCTTGTTTACGTTGCATTTTGCTTTAGCTGTGTTTTATTATATAAAATATATTCTGTAATTCAGTAAAATAATTCTACTAAGCAACCTTAAAATTAGACTTTTATCCCCGGTTGGAAATTTTTAGATATAGGTTCATATTTGCAAGGCTGATGGAGTTAAGTATCAAGTACCAATCTCAGCTGAAATCAAACCATGTTTAGCGATACTCTTGTTATAAGAGAAGGGGTCACTATACAGAGAACCTGCACTGATATTATTTACAATCATTTTATATCGTTTAATCATACTATAGACATACATAAAGAAATATATCAGCAAGTTCTGTTGGACACATCAACCCTTATCCACATGTGAAAAGGAGCAAAACTGAAACCGAGATAAAGTTTCAAAGTCACAAATAAGATGACCCAGGCCCACTATGAATAATAATGCAAAGAAAATGATTTAACATGAAATATGATCAAAATGATGTGCTGAATTCTTCTTGCGGTAGTTTTGCAGATTAGCTGAGGATTTTAAAACATTTGCTTTAATGCTCACACTCGTAGTACTTATACTTACATGATGTATCTGCTTGTTTTGATCCCTGGGTAAGCCCTTAGAAAGACTCTTAGGAGAAGCTCTCATACTCTAAAAGGAGTTGTTTGGCCCTTGTTCCTAGTCATTATTGGAATTAGGCTTATTTCGTAGCTCTATTAAAAACAACTGCATCATTATTTATATATCACCGGATAGTGTTTTTGTTGTTTTTTTTAAATTTATTTTATCTCTGCATTTAATCTGCAAGTTAGTATATCCAACATGCCAAAAAAAACAACAACTTATCTTTAGGTTACATAGTGATATTCTATAATTACAATTATTTGGTATGTGAGCCTGCTTCTCAGTGTGGTGACATTCCGTTAACAGCAATTTCATGTACTGTGCAAGAACGACAAACAAAAAGAGTCGCTCAGGGGCTCCCATACATGCTCATATATGGAGGAAAATGTTAAAAGGATTAGCCCTTCTTCAGGTACTCTGAACGAGCACCAACACAACGTAACATGTGTTACTTATTAATGTAACAGCTTATCATTAAATCATTGAGATGTGTAATGGTAACATCTGTTCATGGTGATTAAAATGGGAAATGATGTAATGTCTGTTCATCAGTTAAATATTTCTTTAAGCTGGAGGGTGTGTGCTAAACACTTCGAATGGCTTTTAGTCCTCTGAGCACCATAACCACAACAGTGTTATTGTGGAGGTTATTGGGCAGCATCTCTGGGCACTGCCTTCCTCCCCCACTGTCTTGTGACTATCCACTTCTGCTGATATAATAATAATTGTAAAATAGAAAACTGATTTGTGTAGACATATATCTTTAATTAGTTTTCATTTTGCATATTTTTACCTACTTTTTACCTTTTGATCTATGCTGCTGATCGGTGGTAAATTTAGGCAGGAAAGATGGAATGCACACTTACTAGCACGGTCCTTCAGTCTGCGGATTTCAGTGTCCTGAGGACATGGATGTAGAACAATGGCAATTGTATATTATTTCTAGACACAGATAGTAAAATGTTCCATATAAAAAAGACCCCTTTAAATTACTTGTAGTTAAGACACGGGTAGTAAAATGTTGTAAATAAAAAGAGACCCATTAAATTAAACGTACTTACTGTCCTTCTAGGGTAGTCAAGCAGACAGATAATTAATGCTTGAATAGTTCATGCAAAGTCATGATTTTGATTTAATAGGTCTATGTCAGACTTGATAACTGAACGTCATTGATAATCCATAATAGCCTCTGCAGGACTGGAGTGATTTACAAACAAAAATTTAACAAAATTCCTTAAACAGAACACAATTCCCAGGGGTGTAGCAACTGACCCACACGTCGCACTAGAGAGGGGTCTCCCTGTCACTTCACATATCATACACAACCCAGTTAAACGATCTTTGCCACAGATTATGTAGACCTTTCTAAAGATGTCAGTTGCATCTGATAAAAAAACTAAACTCTATAAGCCAAGCTTGGTCGCACAGGACCCTTTTCACCTCTTATTTCTGCTTATATTAATTTGTATGGGAATTATTTACTGTTTTTTTTATTTTTTTTATCCCTACTGCAAAATTGTAAAGAGCTGCAGAATATATTTTAAAATAATAATGGTAATAAGCCAATAATTCTACGTATTTATTGTTCTTATTTCTTATTGTAAATAAACACATGCTCTGCCATAGGTGAAATCTCCTTTCTTCAAGTCTTTGTGGATATGGAATAATCAGCAAGCCACATACATCACAGGATAGCAAGGGGAGTTAAGTCATCCATCCGCTTTTCACCGCTGTTACCAAATTTTGATTAGTGCATAAATATTATATGGAAAATCAATTAAAACTTTAAAAATAACCAATTCGTAGTTACAAGCTGAGAAATTTAAATCACAGCAGATAATTTATAAACAAAATATAAAATATATAAAATGAGAACAGAATACAGTAAGAAATATATACACTAATATTCTGAATATAAAAATACTTGATCTTCAAGGCTCGTGTTGTTTTACAAACAACTTAACTCCGTACGAGTACAAACAAATTAACGGAGAGGTTCACAGACAGAGCATTGGAATCCAATAAACTTGCGCACTTTATGTAAAGGAAAAAAGTGCATTAAAGGTGCACTACTCATAAAATTATGTATATAGTGCAAAATAGTATATTAAAAAAAATATAGCATGCATTCTTTGCTTGAAGGCCAAGGGGGTGTGACCAGGTTAATTTAAAACAGTGTCAGTTTCTATTAAAATCTACACTTTTTGCAAAATGAAAAAAGATGGGGACACTCTTCGCCAATTAAGATTTTCAACAGGCTAAAGTGCATTAGGGGTCTGGAGTGTCCCTTTAAGTACATTAAATGTACCAGTTACAGAGCCAGTCGTCTTCTTTGGACAATTTACACATGTATAATCATTTTTATTAGAGATCCTATCATTCTCAATAAACTAGTGTTTTTTTAGGGTTTCTAACATAAATTTAAAATGTTTTATATATCTATCTATCTATATATATATATATATATATATATATAAAGCAAAAAGGAAAGAGATGCACTCTCAGGTCTTTGTAGAAAAAAACTCGATATTATTTAATAACAGGTAACATATATCTGATCGACGTTTCGACCTCTTCGGGTCTTCCTCAAGATCCTGAGAGTGCATCTCTTTCCTTTTTGCTTTACATATCCAGCGTGGGATTGCACCAAGGCAGTCTTTTATTGATTCATTGAAAGGGTGAGTGCCACTATACTTGTATATATACATATATATATATATATATATATATATATATATGAGAGAGAGATTTTTTTTTTCTCCAAATAATCATTTCTATTGTTTCTAATGAGACATTTACTTCAGTAGTTACATATATATTATTTAATTTTAAATAAAATAGCTTACTGCATGTACACCATAGCTTATGTTAGTGTAGTGGGTAATTTTGCATTTTAATGAATTAACTAAAATTAACTCAAAGTGTGCATTTAAAGTGATTTTCAAATTTAAAGGACCACTCTAGGCACTGAGACCACTTCAGCTTAATGAAGTGGTCTGGGTGCCAGGTCCAGCTAGGGTTAACCCATTTTTTTATAAACATAGCAGTTTCAGAGAAACTGCTATGTTTATAAATGGGTTAAGCCTTCCCCCAAAGCCTCTAGTGGCTGTCTCATTGACAGCAGCTAGAGGCGCTATGCGATTCTCACTGTGATTTTCACAGTGAGAGCACGCAAGCGTCCATAGGAAAGCATTGTAAATGCTTTCCTATGCGACGGGCTGAATGTGCGCGCAGCTCTTGCCACGCGTGCGCATTCAGCCCAGGTAGAGGAACAGAGGAGGAAAGAAGGAGGAGAGCTCTCCGCCCAGCACTGGAAAAAGGTAAGTTTTTACCCCTTTCGCCCTTCCAGAGCCGGGCGGGAGGGGGACCCTGAGGGTGGGGGCATTCTCAGGGCACTATAGTGCCAGGGAAACAAGTATGTTTTCCTGGCACTATAGTGGTCCTTTAAGGTCAAATAGACAAACTGGAAGAATGATCTAAGCCAGCTGTCATGATTTCAGTATGGCTACAATGGCCTTAAATTTAAATTTTACTTTGAGTTCTCACTTTAGTAAATAACCCTATAAAAAGTAAACTAAGATGAATTGTTAAGGAAATTAAAATTTTAGGCAAAGCTAGCGGACTTGGAAAAAAAATCTTTTGAATCTGAGAATCGCCGGCCCTTTAAATGCCACAGCCGCCTGAGCGCTCTATAGAGAGCGCTCAGACGGCTGTCGCACTGCCTCACCTCCCCTTCCCTGTAGCGTGGCCGAGCTCCTCTTCGGTCTGCGACTCGGATGGACTGACAGGAAGTGTACACTTCCATACTCGTTTTCCTGGCACTATAGTGCCCTGAGGGTGTCCCCACCCTCAGGGACCCTCTCCCGCCGGGCTCTGGGGAGAGGAAAGGGGTTAAACTTAAATTTTTCCAGCGCCGGGCGGGGAGCTCTCCTCCTCCTCTCCGCCTCCGATCCTCCTCTTCGGCTGAATGCGCATGCGTGGCAGGAGCTGCGCATGCATTCAGCCAATCTAATAGTAAAGCATTCATAATGCTTTCCTATGGACGCTGGCGTCTTCTCACTGTGATTTTCACAGTGAGAAGCACGCAAACGCCTCTAGCAGCTGTCAATGAAACAGCCACTAGAGGCTTTAGAGGCTGGATTAACCCATTTATAAACATAGCAGTTTTCTCTGAATCTTTCTTTTGCCTAGGGCGGCAAAAATCCTTGCACCGGCCTTGCTTGCATGTGGGTAAATGCCCCATATTTATTACAGCAAAAGTGAATTTACACAAGTGACTCTCTTGCTCTTTTCTGGAAAAGAGAGACAGGGCTGGGAGAGGACATTGTGTATGCAGTTTGTGGAGTTGTGGGTATGTACGTTGCTTGTAGAATCGTGTGTTTGTAGGGACCCCCATAGCTGCCTAACAGGTGTTTGATGGCATTTAACAGCCTATCTCTCATGCTAGTGGGGCACCCTAAGTGACAAGCTACATGTCTGGATATATGTGCAGTGTTTTCGAGTGTCTCTGCTTCAGACACCATGCACAATTAGCACTCCTCTTGGAGTATTACTGGTGTAGAACACTCCATCGTGGGCCTACGTTAATGTGTCCTAAACAGGTAATGCATCAATTTAGTTTTACCACATATACACCTTCTAGGCGATGCACCCATTTTATTATTCAAGCCGTGTTGTTAAAAGGAATGGTGCTCTGTTGTTGTCTCCAACAGCCCAGTAGTATATTAATTCCTGTAGTTTGATTCACACTTGTAATTTTGGTTGTATTCCAGTGGTTTTAGTTCTCTGGTCCATAACTTGTCATGGTTTATTGTTTTCATTATGTATGTAGTAAGAGTCCCTTACTTGACCAATCGGATTATCAGCAAAATGGATTGTGCACTATTTTACAAGGTCTTCTTCTGACTGATTCTCTGCAAGTCATGGCTAGGAAGTTCCTGAGAGAGGGTTAATGTTAGTATTTTACTTGTGTTGTACGCATGGCAAGGGTGCAATAACTCTTAGATACGGTGATGATAAATGTATTTCAATCTAAGTGAATATTTATTACAGTTCCAGTCATTCCCCATTCCAAGATGATGGTTTTATTGTCACTGTGAGGTTTGGAATGGTCTTAAGTACAGTAATAAATAGCTCACCAGAACGTACCATAATTGTAACTGCCAGAAGGATCACAGTAACGTATCAGCCAGAGGACAAAAAAAAATCTAATTTTTAAATGCTTTTCTTCTAAATCCATTAATCGTCATGCTTTAAGTATCACACTGTTGAGTTTAACAAGTACTGCCAAAATGCAAATATACATAATTTTCAGGTATGTCACAGGGGGGTAACATATAATGTTCCTCAAGCTACATTTAATTATTTTTTTTTCAGAAGGTTTCAGATAGGAGAAAAACATTATCATCTCAGCTGAATGTTTCTGCTCCTCCTCATTCTTCTGTTTCTGGTGGTGTAGTGTGAGATTTGTGAGTCCAAGAGCATATCTCTATTTTGTTCTGTTCCGTCTTTGCTCAACATTGAAAATGACTGATGTAATAAACATATAGGGGATTTATCAATTAAAAATAGGTGCTGTACTAGGGCAAATAGCTAAACAAGGCGTAATCGCCATGAAAAGCTAAACAATCTCTAAGCATTTAGCATCCAAAAAGCACCTGTTCTACCCTCATGAATCTCCTCTATGATGTCATTTCCTGTCATAGTTATTTATGACTAATCAGACCTGAGGAAGGAGGGACTTTGCCCCTATGTTTTTTGACCCTGTGGCCTTCCAGCCCATACTTCAGGTCTTTCACTAGATGAACATGTTTTATATAACAAACGCTGTTAACAAGGGAAGGTTTTACCCTAGCAAATGGCTCCAGCATTTTTTTTAAACTCTTTTACGTTCATTAAAAAAGTATGTATGTATGTAATAATAGCCAAGTGGGCCTGAGGAAATTTTGAAAGTCATCATTCTTTGACAACAACCACGAGTATGCTTAACCTCAGCAAGCCTATAGATATATGCCAAAATAAAATCCAAAACAGAGTGCATGTGAAAACAGAGAATGGATGACAACATAGATCGCCCTTCATATCGTTTTGGCTTGGGTCTCATAGTAGTTGTCTAGTGCCATTGCAGAAGAAATCCATACCACACGCATAACAGATTGTTCTCGTATGTGGGGGTTGTCCAGACTTAAAATGATGGCAGGTCCCCTTGCACGAGAGAGTAAGAAGCCCCAGGTAAATCATTTTGACCGGATTTGATCTCATCAGTGAAGTACAATTGATACTTCTCCAGGCACAGTGAGCAAGAGGGCCATGTCCGAATTACTCTTTTGACTAACTTAGTCATTTGGAAAGAAGACAAAGCAGATAAAGAACAAAGAAACCAAAACAGGTAAATATATATAATTTGTGTTATAATACATTTAGACACCAACAGTGTATTTGTATACAAGTTTATTTGTTGTATGGTTTTACTTTCCTGTTTATGGGATAATTCAAACATATTTGTTTTGCTACTGTTGTATCCATGGAAACAAACCAACAACACATGGCTTGATTGTTCATTTGGCTAATCCTGTTGTAACACTGAATATATTTACACAAACCAATCCTTACCCTGTTTAGTTTCATTTGTTTCCACTATGTGTGTTTTGTCAGATGACGTATTCATTCCTGTTGGATTATTAATAATCAATAATAATAGTCCACATTCAAAAACATTTAATACAAAAATATTTTTTTTTTGTCAAAAGGAAATACAGATTTTAAATTCAAGTAATGTTGATATTTCATGTGTGTCCATTTTGTTTTGTTTTCTTATATATTGTTTTCTTTATTTATTAATTGTAAGAACAGTGCGTGATTTAGGCACGTAGCGGAGAAAATAAATGCCAGAAAGATAACTTTGATTAATGAGTTAAAATGACTAAAAAGGCATACAAAATGGCAGCTTCTCTTATCTTACACACACATGTCCGCTTGATTGTTATTTGTTCCAACTGGTGATGGTTTGCTTTTAATCCCATCAGTTCCACCTTTTGAAGTGTCTACAAAGAGAAGCCTAGGAGTCCACAAAGACATCAGTATTCTTTTGTACTCCTTACGGAAGTTTTGGTTCATAACACCATAAATTACAGCATTGAGGCAACTGTTGAAGTAAGCCATGAAGTAGCTCAGAACGAACAGCCAGTTAGGAATCTTGGGTGCCATGTAGAATGGGTTAATGGCTACTGCAAGGCCAATGAAATTTAACGGTCCCCAGCAAACGGCAAAAAGGACAAAAACCACAAACATGGTAAGGAAGTTACGCAGATCTGTCTGAGTCAACTTTTGCTTGGAATCCTGTCTCACTCGTTGCTTCACTTGGATAACCAAAACCCATATCCTCAAGTAACAAAATGTCACCACGGCCAGAGGCACAATGAAATGTATAACAACCACTGTTATGGTGTACGAGGTACTAACAGTCTGAGCAAAGGTACATGAAAAAACCCGAGGGTCGTACTGTAATGATCCAACAAAAAAGTTTGGCACAATTGCAATAATTGTTAACATCCATGTTAGGCACAAGTAGCAAAATGTGCTCCTCTGATTGTAAAGCTTATCATATCTGAGGCTATGGCAGATATAGCAGTAACGGTTTATGGCTATGGCTGTAATGTTGAATACTGATCCAATAACACTTAGACCCATTAGGAAGCCGCTAATTTGGCAATGGACGTTTCCAAGTGTCCATCCATTATGGAAAATAGCGACGAGTATAACTGGATACGGGTAGATTGCAACTACCAGATCAGCAACAGACAAACTGACTACAAAGATGTTACCTGGAAAAGAAAAAAAAAAAAAAAACAGTTTTACTTAGTTAATACCATATACATTATTATATGTATCAGTATATACTTGTGTAGTTATTACTTGAGTAACATAGAATATGTATATCATCTGTTACCAGTATTTAACCCCTTAAGGACAGAGCTTCAGAAGCTTGCCTTATGCTTAACGACAAAGGCCATTTCTGCATTTTTCTGCTGTTTGTATTCAAACGCAATTTGCATCTCTGTCGTTTATTGCTCCAACACATATTATGCATTGTTTTTTAGAAGTAAACAGGGCTTTAATTTGATGTCACATATACATAGATACACTCTCAATTATATAAAAATGGCAAAAAAGAGAAAACATTTTTTTCACAGTTTTGGCAAAAATAGCGTGTGCATAATATGTCCAGCTTAGAAAAAGTAATTCAAAATAAATTCATTTATGTGTCTTGCTTTATAGAGTACATCATATGTATAGGATTTCAGCTTATTTTGAAAGGTACAGGTCACAAAATACAAGGACTAAAATAAAATTTCAATTTTCAACAATTTTAGAATTTGGTATGTTTGGTCTTGTAGGTTTAGTAGCCATCACAGAAAACAAAATTGTCACACAAAAGTATATATTTAAATAAAGTAGACATCACATGCTATTTACCTAAGGTTAGTTTGACACTTTTTACTTAGTAATTTCATCGCCAATCTCTGCTAAATATTGGAGTAAAATTGTGTTTTTTCTTTATTTTGGCATATACACATATAACAAGGTTTTTGTAATGTGTATTTTGTAAAACTGGTGTTTGCTATTACTGCACAGAATCCCATATTGTGTTGAGCTACATCTGCTGAGTATAACGATACCCCTTTGGCACTTTTCTGTAAAGCTACAGTGCCATATAGGAGACAAGACTATTCCAGTTTCTATAGTTAGAATTTTTGTAGATGGATTTGACGGACCTATGTCTCCTTTTTGGGTATTCTAGCAGTGTGACTGTTCAAATAACCCCACAAAGGGCTTTCATTTGATAAAGCAGATACCCCGGGGTATCTTATATGGTGTATATTGTGCCTTAACTTGTCACCATTTTATGTCAGTGTTTGTGGTGGTGGGGGGGGGGAGGGGGGAATAGCATTTTTACATATATGTTGCATTTTTGCTGAGTATTTCTTGCACTTAATATGTACCGCTGTCATAAAAATCCCCAAATATACTCAGTTACACCTTCTAAGTAAAACACTATGCCCAATGTATGACCTAGACACTATTTTGAGAAGTTACAGTGCTGTAAAAGAGACGTGACACGTTCAGGTTTTTAAGAATTTTCATGGAGGGTTTTGATGCGTCCATGTCCCACTTTGGAGCACTTGAGCATGCTACATATTACAACTACACCATAAAGGCATACCATTTCTTAAAGAAGACATCCCAGAGTATTTCAAAAGGCATATTTTGAACCTTAGCTTGAGATAATTTTCCCGTTAGCTTGTACCAAGTGTAGTGGTAATAAGCATTTTTTCTGCCTTTTTGACACACAAAGTGAGTTTGCACAGTATATTTTGCAAACCTTATGTGTGCTACGACTGTAATACTACATATGTTACTCAGCTATGTCGTCTGAGTACAGCAATACCCCCCGCATGTACCTTTGCCAGGTATATGTGGATGTTGAAAGGACACATTTGAGACGCAGCCATTCAGTTTTTTTCTAACTTTGAAGTTTTACGCTGTTTCCATGTTCCATTTTGGAGTAGTTTAGATGGTTGATTATTGAAAATGTGGATGTCTGTATGTCAGTATATGTATGTATGTCTGTCTGTGTAAATGTATGTATCTGTATGTATGTCTGTATGTATGTGTATGTCGGTCTGTCTGTATCTGTACATATGTATGTGTATATATGTATGTGTATCTATGTCAGTATGTATGTAACTGTCTGTATTTTAGTATGTATGTATGTATGTCAGAATGCATGTATCTGTATGTATGTGTATGTATGTCAGTATGTGTATGTATAAACCTGTCTCTCTGTATGTATGTCAGTATGAATGTATGTGTGTGTATGTATTTCCTTATGCGTGCGTGTGTGTGTCTGAATGTATGTTAGTATGTGTCTGTGTGTCACTCTGTATGTCTGTGTGTCTGTATATGTCTGTGTGTCTGTTAGTATGTATGTATGTGTGTATCATGGGAGTTGTAGTTCAGCAGCATCTGGAGGGCCAGAGTTTGGGGAAGTCTGCACTAAGGGGACTGCCTGAACACTCAGGCAGTCCCCCTGCAGGCAGTCTCATAGACTGCTTTGTGGCCATGTGATTGCGATGTCTGTCGCGATCACATGGTCCTGGAGGGTCGAAAAGGAAGCAGCGGGACTACCCTAAATGGTGGCCAGGGAGTGCAAGATTGTTAGGGCGTACTATGCTGCCCAAACAGCATTTAAGCTCACTAAATGCAGGGCGGCATAGTGCCCCCTAATGGCGTGTAGGGGTTAAAGGAGAATTTTTTTCTCATATGATATTTTCTGTTTAATAATAGGTAAAGAACATTTTTTATATTTTTGGAGCAAGTTCTACTTTCTGAACAAATAAAAATGTCTTCCTCCGGAAACATTCACAGGGTTATTCACTAAGGAAGGCAACCTCGGGCACTCCAGATGTTGTGGATTGCATCTCCCCCGATGCTTTGCCAGCAATATGGCTTTAAGAGCATTATGGGAGATGTGGTCTACAATATCTGCAATGCCGAAAGTTGCCTAACCTCTGCACTAAAGGGAAAACTGAAAGTGAATTCAAAATGAACTTCCCATTTAAGGTCAGAGTACCTGAACTGAAAGCACAGCTGGCTTGCAGGGGGTTTTCCATTCGGCTTTTTTTTTTTTTTTTTTAACTTTCAACTCACTTTCAATTCTTACTTTAGTAAATAACCTAGAAAGAGTTCTATTGTTGTACGTATGTTGTAGAAGTAGAAGATGGTAGTGGTAGAATATAGTACAGCTTATCATATAGTGGGACATAGAAAAAGGTCTTGCTCGGTGTATGCACTATATAAATATAAAGTAAAAACGTATAAAACCTCTGATGCCTTAAAGCATCATGGCCCAAATTGTCATAGAATTATGTTCTATTTATAATTATTATTATTATTAAGTCACCACCAAAACACAGTTCATCGTCTCCACAAAGTTTTACTAAATGTAAGGGTGCTACATTTTCATAGTTTCCGTTGTAGAGAATACTTGAGAATTAAGAAGGAGAATTAAAAAGATGTCTGTGAGTTCTATGACCTTTTTAATTCCCTATGACACATCAGACCCAATTACTGCAACCAGTGCCTGCTGTTACCAGTCTGACAAGAGAGTAAGAAAACCTGCGGTTTGGGGAAAAAGCAGACTGAGAAAAGGCTGTGACATACACACATAAGTTATAGATTGAAAGGTCTGTGGGTGTAAGCTATGAGACCTCATACTTATAGATTCTTCAACCTGTGCATTTTTATTCTTAACAAGGCACTAGTTTAAAGGGTCATGCCAGGACAGAATATCAAATCGTTACTAATATATCCAGGATATGCCATGGTAGACTTATCACCTGAGCATGTGACCTTTCAGGCAGGAACTGACCATTTTTAATGCATTATATTATAGCTAACCCGCTGAAATACGCAAAATATATCAATCAAATCTAATATAAAATAACATTGAAATTTGTGTGTTTCTTTTGAGTCAGTGTAATGCTAAATCAAAATTTGGCATCATTATTTCTCTAAATTGTAAAGGTAAGGGTTACTGCAGTAATGGCTATACTTAACATTTTTAAGTGTCGTTTTAGTTTTTATGGTACGGTTTATCTAGCCAAAGCTATTCTTAATTGACTTTACTATAATCTTACTATAAGCCCATACCTAAACTATTGCAGTTGGCCTCCTAATTTTAAATTATTAAATCTGGTTTCCTAAACACAACCCTGGCCTTAATTCTAAATTCTTAAATAGTTTCTATTCTAAATCTAAAATTAACCGTAACTGTAACATTAAAGGGATACTCTACTGCTAGTAATACAAATCTGTATTCCTTGCACTATAGCCCCCTGCACGCCCTCTGCTCGCTCTCTCAGTTAACTAAGGGATAAAATACCCCTACTGTACTTAACTGATTCCAGCGCCAATGTCACTCGGTGCTGTCAGCACACCGTGCCCTGCAGTGTCACCCGAAAGGGGGGTGGGGGCGCGCTTATGTGCATGCACAGCAAATGCCGTGAGCACATTAGACCCCCCCCCCCTTTCCTTTGGGGAATTTACTGACGCTGGATGTCCTCATGCAAAGCAAAAATTTGCCTAACCACCCGGAAAGGCCTCTAGTGGCTGTCTGATTAACAGCCACTAGAGACAGTCTTAGCCATGGGCGTCCGCAGGAATTTTTCCAGGGGGGGGGCATAATTGTAATGACATCCATGCTTGGTACCTTTTTGACAGTGTCATGAAAGGGAAGGGGCACAGCCATTATCACATAAAGCCAGGGTGAATAGCGTTTTCACAACTATGGTGTCAGGAATATATGTTTGTATTTCTGACACTATAGTGTTCCTTTAAGCAAATTGAAGGACCATTCTGGTCACCATAACAACTTCACCTAAATGAAAATGCTATGATGCCAGGAAGCCCCTGGGTGCTTGCTTTCCTTTAAGGGGTTAAATCGCTCTCAAATGGTTTAACCCCAAAGGCTTCCTCCAGCTCCAGGTCGCTCAGTGGTATTTGGCTTCTGAAACAGAGTGTCAGGAAGTGCAGATTGACATCAGGCATGGGTGCTGATTGGCTAGAGTGGACAGTTGACGCTCTAAGCCAATCGCTAGTTCCTGGTTCATAAAATATTTTTACTTTTTTATGAATGGGGAGCTACTGATTGGCTTAGAGTGCCAGCTGACCGCTCTAGCCAATCAGCAACACCCCTACCCAACGGCACTCTGTGCTTCCTGACACTCAGTAAATAAAAGTGAACACATTAACACCGATATTTTTTTACCTTTGGAGCCTGGCCCAGGTACCAAAGCCTTATGATGTGGTGTCCAGAATAAAGTGGAGGGTTCACTTCATTTGTCCTTCCTACTCCAATCTCCTTTTCCTCTCCTTCATTTGACAGTCTTTTTTTTTCTTCTGACACTGTTTTCTATCCTTGGCCCCTTCTGCTCTTTTACCTTTCTGCTTATTTTGCGCCCTTCTGCTCCTTTCTCATTCTGGTCCCTTTCTGCTCCTTGCAGACCCTTTCTGCTCCCTTTTCTACTTTACCTTTGTGCTCCTTGCTGCTCCTTGCAGGCCCTTCCTGCTCATTCTCCTACTTTATGTTTGTGCTCCTTCTGCCCCTTCCAGCTCATTTCTGACCCTCTGTGCTGCTTTACCTTCCAGCTCCTTGCTGACCCTTCCTGTTCATTTCTGTTCCTTTGTGCTCCTTCTCCTACTTTACCTTTTGTGCTCCTTGCTGTCCCTTCCAGCTCCTTGCTGCCCCTTTCTGCTCCTTGATGTCCCTTCCTGCTCATTTCTGTTCCTTCTCCTTTTCTCACTTTACCTTCCTGCTCCTTGCTGACTCTTCATGTAGGCTGTCTCCCCCATCCCTCACTTCCATAGGCGTGCGCACGGGGTGTGTCGGGTGTGCCTGGGCACACCCTAATCCCTGCGGCACGCCAATGGATTGAGACCGGCAGGGGAGATCTCTGGATCTCCCCGGTCGGCTCATGAAGAGCCGACGCTATCCGAGCGGCGGCTCTGGTCTAAGCCTCCATGGGCCGGTGGGGAGATCAAAGTTCAGCAAGTTCAGCAGAGAACCCGGGCTAGAGTTCACTCTCCACTGAACCACCAGGGAAGGCAGCAGGACTGGGATATTAACTAATCTGCCCCCTCTTCCACCCAAACATACAGCACACACACACACACACAGCACCTACACACATACATCACCCTCGCACACACAGCACCCACACACATACAACACCCACACACCCAACACACTAACAGCATCCTGACAAACACACAACAGACACACACAGCACACTAACAGGACCCGCACAAACACGCACACACAAACACCCTCTCACACATAGACACACACACACACACAGCACACTACCAGTTCCCTCACACACAGCACACAAACAGCACCCTCACACACAGCACACTAACAGCACTCTCACAAACACACACAAAAACACCGTCACCCACATAGCACACTACCAGAACCCTCACACACACACACACACAGCAGTGTATATATATATATATATATATATATATATACACACACACACACACATACATACATATACACATGGCGTGTGTTTGTGATTTAGGGTGCACACCCTAATGCAATAGGCTCACTAATCTGCTCACTTCCCTAATCTATAGGCTGCCCCCCCAAAATCTATGGGCTGCTGCCCCCCCAAATCTATAGGCTGCTGCCCCCCCAAATCTATGGGCTGCTGCCCCGCCCCAAATCTATAGGCTGCTGCCCCCCCCAAATCTATGGGCTGCTGCCCCAAATCTAAAGGCTGCTGCCCCCAAATCTATAGGCTGCTGCCCCCAAATCTATAGGCTGCTGCCCCAATATAGGCTGCTGCCCTCCCAAGTCTATAGGCTGCTGCCCCTCCCCAAGTCTATAGGCTGCTGCTGCCCCCCCCCCCAAGTCTATAGGCTATCTCAATCCCCCCACCCCATCCCTCACTTACCTGATCTGTAGGCTGTCTCTGGCTGCATGTGTTGCTCCCCTGCGGTTTCAATCAGCAGAGAGAAGCAGGGATAAGATGCAGCTTCCTATCCCTGTCTCTCTCCATACACGGTATTGCAGTTTATTTTAACTCACACAAAAAATATCAGAACAAGCTGAAAAATCCAGAGGGGGCAAGTGCCCCCCCTTGCCCCCCCTTGCGGACGCCCATGGTCTTAGCCCTGCAAGGCAATTATTGCAGTTTCTCAAAAACTGAAAGAATTACCATTGCAGTGTTAAGGGGACAGAGACCCTACACCCAGACCACTTCAATTAGCTGAAGTGGTTTGGGTGCCTATAGTGTCCCTTTAACTCGAAACTGTAAAATGTGACATAATTAATGATCCACAGTGAACAAGGTCATACCTCCCAACAATTGGGAGTAGAAAATTATATGATCAGCAGAAGGGTGAGTCCCCAAAATAGCCTCAAATTTGCATGCTTCTTGTGCAGTAGTGCGTCTGCATTTCTAACACCGGAACCTTCTAAATGAACAAAGGTTACAATATTTACAATAAATGTTTAGTGTCACTTTAAGGAACTGGCTCTACAGTTTATTTGATTATAGAACCATTTTTTTTTCTATATAATTTAATTTTCTGGAAGTTAGCAGAGGTCTTCAAACAGTCTCACTGCATTTCCTTAAAACAACTCTATAGGCACCCAGACCACTTCATTTCAATGAAGTTCTTTGGATGCCACGTTAACACCCATTTTACTCTGCAGCTGAAAACATTGCCATTCTGCAGGAACTCAACAGGGTTTACCTGCATTTAGTGGTTGTCATAGTGACAGCAACTAGAAGTGTTTATGCAAAGTAGTGGGAAATTGTTCTATTCCAATCAGAAGGTTTCAGAAGGAGAACCCATCTGAGTGGTGCAACATGGCGCGGGGGAGCATTTGGTCGGATGACATCATCAATCTTGCTGATCTCATCGAAAAAGGTGATGTGACAGGCCAAAGGCAAGCGCTGCAAGGGAGAAAAGTTAAGTAAAATACTCATAGAACTTCGAAATCAACACGATAACGTCATTTGTTTTTTACAGCTGTGCAACAGCATACATTCACCATTTCAGTCCCATTACCAAACTTTTCTTAATATGTCAAGGTAGTTGGACTGAAACATTGGTTATATGCAAATGCAGGTTGCCTTAAAATAAATTACCTTAACTTTATAGGTGACTCTATCCCGGTCTTTTCTTTTGTATTTATGTGCTCGCCATTGATTCTCCTGGCTCCTGTTTCTACATTTATTAGTCCTGTATTTTTTTTCTATGCACTATATCCTAGTCTCACAGTGTTATTTACTGAAGTGAGAAATCAAAGTGAATTCAAAGTGAATTTCACATTTAAAATCAAAGTAGCCAAACTTAAAGGGATACCCTACACACCAAAACAACTTTTGCTTTATGAAGTAGTTTTTGTTGGCCCTTGTCTGGGCCTGGAACTCTGCCTCTGGTTGTGAGGGGGTCTACTCAAGTATCTTCCTGCCCTTCAGTTCCCTAAAAAAAAAAAAAGAAATGTGGTCTGTACCAATATCAGGTTGTGACAGAGTGTTGGGGATGGTGGTCAGGGGTGTATATCTGGCACCCAGACTTTTACGCAGCCCCAGGGAAAGTTAAGTTGAAATGTAGATTTTTTCTATGTTGTTATTTGGGTCCCTGGGGTGGAGTATTCGGAAGAGCAGGCTGGGCCCGATTCTCCACCCACTGTCAGAGTGGCTGTGCATGAGTCCAGCCCAGGTATTCTGAGGAGTTCTGTCTCACTGCCTAACGAGGTCATTAGCTTCACCTGTAGGGACTGTGAGCAGCTATATAACTGCAGTTAAAGCAGGGTGGAGTGAGGGAAGTGTTTTGAGGAGAAAGAAGGTTTGCTGCCTGTTGTATCCTGCTACTTCTTAACAACAGAAAATAAACAGGCCAGAGGCCTTTGAAACTTTGTCTTGGCCTTACCCTAGAGGGCTGTGCAGTTGCCAAAGGATCCTGGACAAAACACACAGGGAAGTAAGTTTGTCACAAGGTATAGAGCACCCTTGCAGTCTCCCTGCACTTCTTGCCACAGATGGAGCTCTGAATCATTGACTGAGTACTGGAACCATGAGGGCGCCCTTAAAGTGGTCATTATCTGATACTGCTGATGACGATCCTGCTCTACCACTAGACCACCAGGGATCTAGTTCGCCCTACACTGGACCACCCGCAAAGGTAAGCGGGGGAGAGCAAAACATACACACTCATTTAGTAAATAACCCTGTCAGTGTCTGCCTATCACTTTATTTTCAATTTGAAAGTGAATTTATTTTGTATGATAGATACATATTGTATTGTGTATGACTCATTACATGTCATCAATAATTTTTTTTCTAAGCTTTGAACCACTGGGTATGTTCAATGAAGCAGCTTGTTATTTATTGTTACCTTATCTGTCCACCCTTGGTCCACTAGACAAATAGTCCTTTGGAAACCATTCAACCTAAATTTACGTTGTATAAATAAAAGTGCAGTCTAGTAGAGAGACCCCCGTAAAGAATCACACACACATCATAAACATTTTAACATGTCCATTTATCCAGATCAAGAATCTTTTATTCAGTTTATTCCATATAAAAGACAAAACACGTAAGATACCACAGCACTGACCTGTTCATAATGTAAGCATTCTTATAAGACAAATACATACGTCCTTTCAAATATAGCTTAGATCTCCTAACGTTGGCACTTCTACCCCCTGATAAGGAGAATTGTCTACTTTGCTATGTTAGAGTCAGGTTTGTTGGAATTAGATGAACCTTTAGAATCCTGGACTCCATTTCCTGATTGAGTGCTCCTATACTCCATCTGGGGTAGCTTATGGTGGCCAAGCGGTTTATACAATTTTGATATTTTTTAAATCTATCTAAATTATGTTTTTCTTTTTGTAGAAGTTCCAATATCTTGTGAATGAATAAGAAATATATTTAGAGAATTTGTAGAGTAAAAGGAACCAATCCTTTGAGCATTTTATTGTACAGGTGTCTCAAAATCTTGAGTGTTTCATGTGGTAGATGTGCATTTCTTACAATTGCGGCCACGATGGACAAACGTTAAACTTTAGGATAGAGGAAATCTTGCATTCAAAAGGAGAAACTGGCAGCAGGGGCCAGTGCCTTAATGGTGACTAGGGCGCAAACTCATTAGGAATACACAATTGCATTCCTAGCGCTATAGTGTTTGTTTAAGCTTTGACAAGTTAATGCCATAGGGGAAGGAAAAAACTATTTGAACAAAATTCACTGCCGAGATCATGATGGAAAAAAGTAAATAAGGCCAGGGGGAGAGACTGCAGACTGCTGATGCTGAGTCTAGCTATTACATTTTGTCACCCTTCGTAACTTTGTCACCTTTTTTGTTTTTGACAGCACAAGCATTTTTAACCACGGTCATGGAATATAAAATGCTGAAACAGATATATGTTTAAAAAAAAAATTAAAATTGTCTTCCTTTCGTTCATTAACACGCAGGGAAGCCTCTAAAAAGATTGCAACATTATAAGTTAAGTGTATTCTAGATAACCTCTACTGGCTAATTTGTAGAATGTAACTGCAGAGTTGGAAGTAGTGTTGGTACAGCCAACCAAGGGTCCAAAGGGTTGTAGGGACCATTGCTGAACCTCACAGCCTCACGTGCTTTTAAATGTTATTACACCAAAGCATGATTTAGTGTTGCAAGAAAAGTGTTTGCAATGTCACACTCCTGAGTGATAATTGACTTCCTAGATCAAGTCTGTCAAACTCAAAGCCTA